ACATTGAAATAATGTTTTAATTAACCCCATGATGGGAGAAGACTATACTATGGGAAAAATATGTGTCAATCAATTCTTGTTTCTGATAGCATATTGTTTTTATACTTTCATACGAACATATGTTCCTCTGTGAATAGATATAGATATATGCACATACAAATTAAATACACTTTTATGGAAGAACACATATGTTTAAATAAGACTAAGCATTACTGTTTTCAGCATTTAACCTAGCAGCATTTTAAAATCATTATTGTAATGCAGCTACATATTAAGTTATAAAACGGGTACTATTGCATTATCCTCATTTCACTTAAAATGAAACCAAGACATACCAAAGTTAGAGCCCCATGCCCAACATTACAAGGCCAGCGGGATTCAGGCCCAGGATTTGAACCAGATTTCTCTGAGGATTAATGTAGACAATAAATTATGTGCAAAATGACTCATCAGTTTAAGGGGTAATATTGAGATTTACACAGTTGTTCTTTAAAATAGAAAACAACCTTCATGAAGACTTCATGTACAGACTGATTCTGGGACCCTTTCCTGCCCTAGTCTGTGTGTCCACTGAGCATGTGTAATGGACCAGGGGACAGCAGAAGTCTATGCCCTCTCCTGTCTATTGTTTTCAGCAGATGACCTGCCCTTGACTAAAACAATCATAGATAAATTGTCTCATTTAAACTAAGCTAATCTGATAAAACAGATAAGTGACTTAAGAATAATCCTGCAAAGAAACCACCAACTGAAGACAGAACCTATACTGTTGGCACAAGCAGAAAGCAAAAACAACAAAACTGAGGTCACAGGGCCCATCATCTTTGAGGAGTGACCCTGGCTGGACTATGTCATTGGAGTACATGAAACCAGTACCCTTAGAACCACATATAATGCCAAGCAAGGAATAAATGAAGATAGTCTCTGTTGAGCAAATATAAAGACAATCTAGTTAGTTTTTGCACACAAATAAATACACACACACACACACACATTCTCTAACATTTGGAAGTCTCCTTTCACATAATGTGGGGAAGCATTCTAAGTTTCTAATAGTGTAAGGATGTCGATAAATCACTTAAAAATTGAATAATTAAGGTTCAAAAAGGTATTTAAATCACAAATAGACTGTAGCTGAATCTAGACGATGCATTTTAATGAGGTAGAGCTTGAGCAGGCAAAGCGTTTCTCACAGAGGTTGTTAGTTATCTCGTAGCAAAGAATGAGCAAAACTAAAGCCAATTCACACACACGCTTTATATAAAATTAAGTGGTCCAGGTTTACTAACCTTTGCTGTGACTAAAAGGGCTGCCAGTGGTATGCTACATACATAATGTTTTTGCTAAGAACATCTTCACTAATGTGTCCCTTGAAATAAAGGTGATACTTTTAAAACAATAGGGGAAAAAACCAAAAGCATCTTAAACAAATTTAAAAAAAAGGTGCTTCATTTTCTTTAAAATAAAAAAAACACAAATCCCATATCTCATATAACTAGAAAAAAACAAAACAAAACAATCAAACAAACAAACAAAAAAAACCACAAAACTTTCCAGATCCTCCACTGGTAAGGCAGTGCAGTGGCTGCTGTTCTTAGCCTTGTAGGTGGGAATGAAAAGTGACAGCTACTGAGAAGGGAATTTTAAAACAGTAAAATAAGTACACATTTTCTTTTTTGTGCAGTAACACCTCCTACAGGCAATCTATCTCAATGATGCTCTGACAAAATGAAAATATGTGTGCACGTAGCTGTATTAGTCGTAGCAATATTTGTAATAAAAAAATGAAAACTAAATGTCCAACAATAACAGGAAAGTAAATTATATTGATACAATGGAATTCAATGATGCAATATTTTTAAATGAACAAAAATGTACTACTTAGAACTGATCTTTAGCATAAATATAAAATTTAGAGTGAAAAAAGTGAGGCCGAGAAAAGAGTATATGAATAACTGCTGATATCACTAAGTAATGAGAGTTTTTTAGATGAGGGAGAAAACAGCAACAATATTGTTTTGAATGAAACTTCCATAAACTTAATTTGAACTAAGAAAATGATATAACTTTTACAACTATTGTAGGAACAGTGAGCAATGAAGAAACAATGAGCATTGAGCACACTGATCTCTGTGGGCTCATGCTATTGACTGGAATTAGAACTTCCAGAAAAGTGTCTGGCTCTACATTACTGGACAAGAATCATGAGAAAAAACTACAAACCCTGATAGGTTACAAAGCCTGGCTAATGAACTTTATATGGTTTATTGTAGTATTTTTCTTTACTTTTGTAGGTGTGAAATTTTCTATGATAAAAAGGTCAACATTTAAAAATGAGTGAAAACTGAAACTGGTCATTAAAAAGTGTCAAGTATGAAGACTTATAAATGAGTATTTAGAAATGTTTCAGTGGTATGTACTTTACTGAACAAAATAATTTAGCAATACAAAATTACCTCATTAAAAAGAGTGTCATTCTGTAAATGATTATTTCTCTGGATTTTGAAAGCTTTTGTTAAAAGTATAAAAATACAATACCTTCCAGTTAGTTTTCCTTGATAGAGTGAAACATATGCTATGTGAAAATTAATAAAAAATCCTGTTTTATTGGTAGACATTGTAGAAGTGTCATGACTTGAAGTCAACAATACAATTACCCTGTTCTGTTTGAATCTGTGTCATTTGGAGGTACATGTTTTGCAGTTATGATTGATCATAAAACTGAGTATTGAAAGAAATTGAACTTAAACTTGACCACTGAATGGAAGTAGAACATAGTTTCAAACTAAAGTTTACAAAATCAAAGAAGGATATTTAATTGCTTCAAAGTCATTAAAGTACATTTGCAGTGAGGTAGGAACTTCTGTTATATTCCACATAAAATTTAGCTCAAAATAGATCAATGACCTAATAGGAGAGGTAAGCTGTTAGAAGAAAACGTGGCATAAATCACTATAATACTGTTTATGTCAAGAGATTGTTATACTTCTTATCAAAAAAATAAAAGAAAAATAAATACATTTGGCTTCATTCCAATTCAAAACTATTTTTTAATCAAAGAACATTAACAGAAAAGTGTAGACAACCTGTAGAATGGAGGGCATACTTGTAAATCTTAAATCTGATAAAGTTCTAACTTCAAGAATATTTCAAGACTCTTACAACTCAAAACAAGAGGAAAAACCACCTTGTTTAAAAATGAGAAAAGCACTTGAGTAAATATTCCTGGTAACGAGTATAAATGAAAAATATACATGAGAAAATATTCAACATTGACAATAATCAGAGAAATGAAAATCAAATACCCTGTATGATATTACTTCACACTCCCTAAAATGACTAGTTTAAAAAAGACAATAACAAGTACTGACAAGGAGGTGGAGGAATAAGAAATATAGGAAGGTGGTGGAATATGAAATGGTGTCATAGCTGTGGACAATTTACTAATGTTTCAAAAGGTTAAACACAGGGCTGGGGATTTAGCTCAGTGGTTCTACCATCTGCCTCACAAGCACAGGGACCTGAGTTCAATCCCCAGTACAAAACAAAACAAAACAAAAAATCCTTACAAAGAAAAGGTTAAACACAGAATTCTTCTAGAGATACAAAGACACGTGTCCACACAGATAAGTGTTCATGGTAGCATTATTAATAATAGTCAAAAGGTGGAAACAACACAAATTCCTATTAACAGATTAATGGATAAACATATTACAGTGAAGCCATATAATGGAATGTTATTTAGCCATAAGAAGAAGTATTGACATAGCCACAATATGGCTGAATCTCAAAACAAAAATTATGTTGAATAAATAAGGGAGATAAAGATCACACACTGTTTGATTCCATGTTTAGAAAATAGCCATAATATTAATACTTACAGAGACATAAAGCAGATTAGTGATGTACAGGTACTGGGGCAAGAGTAAAAGGGAGTAATTGCTTCATGAGAATGAGGTGTTCTTCTGTGATGAGGAAAACATTTTGAAACTAGAGAGAGGTAGTGCAGTATAGTATTGTCAATGAACCAAATGCCACAGAATCATTCACTTTAAATGGTTAATTGTATGTTACATTATTTTCAATTCAATTAAAAATAATATATGTAAGGCCCAGTTTGGTGGTGCACACCTATAACCCCAGAACTCAGGAGGCAGAGGATGGAGAATCATTGTGAGTTCAAAGCCAGCACAGGCTACATAGTGAGTTTAAGGTGAGCCTGAACTACATAGTGAAACCCTGTCTCAAAAGAACAATTTAAAAAATTAATAATGTATGTAATAATTGTAATAATAGTACAGCACAAGTAAAAAAATTTTAATGTTAGAACCAGGAATTTAGTTCAATGGTGCTGCTGCCTGACTGGTAAGTACAAGGACCGAAGTTCGATCCCCGGTACAAAAAAAAAATTAATGTTAAAAAGCAAAAAGTATATTAAATCTTAAATACTTCAGCTTTAACTCATTCTTCTTTAATTTCTTTTTCAAATATGTTCTTTCATAAATATGGAGTATATCCTTACCATTTTTAGTGTTGGGTACCAGTTTAAAATTTGACTGAAAATGCTGCAAATCCAGAACTTGTAGGGTTAATCTATCCTCAGCATGTTTTGTACCTTTCCTAAGTTATATTTTCCAGGATTTAATACAAAATATACATTTTCCAGTTCAACACAGTATCTGTGATTTTTTTTTTTGTACCAGGGATTGAACTTGGGTCCTTGCGCTTGCACGGCAGGCCACCGAACCGCTGAGCTAAATCCCTGGCCATATCTGTGATATTTTATCTTTTGCAATCTAGCCATGAATGTTTCTTACCCAGTAGTGACCAAATTTAAATTTCCAATCCTTGGGCTACTAATTAGATACACGTAAGGTAGTTTTACTTCAGTGGTTCTTCTTCATTCAATTAGCATTAGAAATGGCAAAAAAAAAAAAAAAAAAAAAAAAAAAAAAAAAAAAAAAAAAAGAAAAAAAAAAGAAATAAAGATCTAGACTTACCCACGCAAGGCAGGGAGTAGCCAAGCTCAGGGTCATGGACAAACTGCCGATCATTGAGTCTGGTCACACAGTACAAGTGGAAACAGTCTAAGCAAATCACATGGCGATGATTACACTGGAAAACCAGGACAGGGCTCCTGCAAAGATAAAGATGCTTTCTATTAGACTGCAATGGGTTGAAAAAATAAGCATCCTTTCAAATGATTTCTGTAGTCCTGCTTAGAGCATAAAGCCACTTAGACCACACTGTATACAAAGACCTGGGCTGCTTAATCTTGAGCTTATACATATTGTCTTAGGCACTTTTCTCATTGCTGAGACATAACAGTTGGCACCCAAAATTAAAGAAAGAAAGACTGATTTGGCTCACAGTTTGTAGTGGTTTCTGTTCATGTTGGCTAGCTCCAAGGCAAGGTGGCATGACAGAAGGGCATTACAGAGGAAAAACAGTTCACAGCAATCAGAATGTAGGACAAGCAGCAGGCTATAAGAAGCAAGCAACAAGCAAAAGCAGCAGCCCTCTTTCTATACATTATATTCTACTCAGTCTACCTACCATTATGGCAAGTAGCACTCATCACACCCAGGGAGGGCTTTACCGTTATCCACCCCTAGAACTATACTAAACCAATCAGTGGACTAATTTAGTAATCACAAACCCTTGATCCCAGCATCACTTGCATACTTGATCTCAGCATCACACACTCCAGTTCCAGCTACTTCTGAAAAGGCCAACATATGACTGCAGGAGGCTTTGAGAGGACATTTAGACAGAGGCCATAACAGGTATCAAGGCTAAATCTAAACATTGGAGGTACTCTATGAACTATGCATAATGCTGACATTACTAATTTTATATTTTTATGTCAATATACTTATTGATCAATTGTTTAAAACTCAGATTTAAGTATAATCATTTTCTACAAGTGTTCCCCACTTCATAATCCCCAATTAATCTACTAAATTACCACATCCATTTTATTTGCTTCTACTGTCCCATTATTGTATCATATTGATACATTTCATAATATCATAATATTGATTTATTTCTTCTCTCCTATATATATGGTCCTTTAAAAGTAGGTAGGTACTGTGTCTATGTTGGTATTACCGTACTACAAAGCATTGTAAGATTTTAAATAAATGTCTCTTGAATTTAATTTTAATGATATATTGTATTTGAACTTCCTCAAAGTTAAAACAAAACTTATGATTCCAACAAAATAGGCATGTTCAATAGTCAGTCATATGTTGCAAGAAAATGGATGAGTAGATTTAGAAATAAAAATCATCCAGTAAGATTTTTTCTGCAGTAAGACTGTCTATTCTGCCACCTCCATTTAAATCAAATATTCAGTTTATCAAATTATGATTAGAGAATTGTTAATCAATACACTATACAAATTTTTGAATTCCCTTAAAACATTTTATAGGAAACAAAATCTACTGAAAAATCATGTGGTTTTGCTGGCAAATGAAGCACACATGTTTATGTCAAAAAGAAAAAAATTGAGTATATTAACTTGAGATCAGCCCAAGGCAATCTTAATAGCAAGAAAGTAATTGGAGTCTATTTAGATAAGTCTATTCCCTATGCAATGATAACAAAATACAAAATAGACAACTTCATTTATACCCAATTTTAGCAGCTATAAAAGCTCTTCAAAAGCCCTTTCACTAGCAGAATTAATATTAAATATTAATATCATAGAAGATAGTTTCTTAGCAACTAAAAGGTTTTCAAAATTCTATTATTTCACTTATTGTAAGGGAATATCTAAAACAAAATAAAGTGGAAAAACAATTCTTGAAATGCTAACATACACAGCTATTAATGATTGGTCAGCTTATCCTGAACAAGAGTCCCTAATGTGTGTCCCTTCTCTGAACCTACTGAAGTTCTTTTATAGCTTCATTCCTACTTCCAGGGCCATAATTTAACTAGGCATTAACTACTCTGAACTTTCAGTCTTTCCCCTTTCAATAACTTTCCTCTGAAGATGATAAAATATAACATTTTCCTATTTCTCACCCGTCACCCCACTACATACACATGTACATATCTGTTTTATTCACTCTGTGACCCAGTCTATTAGCTCTATTTTACCTTCTTTTTTCAGATATAAGCAATGTGAAAATTATTCTCTATTTTTCTTTAGCAAAGTGGCAGACTAAGTCTTGTAGATACCTAATCTGGTCTCAACATGCGGAAACTCTGAAGAAAATATTAGAACATCTGTAAAAATGTTCATATGTAGAATAAGAATAAAAGAAAGCTGAGAGACAACCCTGTAGAGGAAGCAAAAATAAAACTTATAAAATATTAGCAATCAGTTATAGTGACTTAAAAATGTGGATGTAAAATTTGCATGAGGAAAGACATGCAGACATCAAACTTTGGTGGCACAGAAGTTACAAGAAGGAAGAATCAATGAGTCAGAATCGCTCCACTAAAGAGTCTGAGATGTATCTAAAGGAAGGAGATTGATTGATACTGGATCACTGAAAAGAAAAGTGCTTCGGGGTAAAGAGAAAACAGACATAGAGAAGTATGCTTTTTTTGTGTGTTTGTTTGTTTTGAGACAGGGTCTTACTATGTAGTTGAGACTGACCTGGAACTCACTATGTAGCCCAGGCTGGTCTTGAACTCACAGCGATTCTCCTGCCTCAGCCTCCTGAGGGCTGGGATTATAGGCGCGCGCCACCATGCCCAGTAAGAATTCTTGAAATAAGACAATCATGTGGGGTGATGGAAAGGATTCATCAGGAAGAGAGTGGGAGAAGGAATGAAAAGGTTTGAGGACAATACCAGATCTGGTTGAAGATGGGAGCAACTCTAGATTGTGGGACCAACTGAAGGTTTCTGCTGCGGTCTGAATATTTGTGTCTTCTCCATGTTCGTGTGTTGAAATTTTTACTACCAATCATAATTGTAGTGGGAAGTAGAGTTTGGGGAAGCATTAGGTCCTGAGGGTGGAACACTCACAAATGGAATTACTGCCTATGAAAGCAACCCTGGAAGTCTCCCTTGCTCCTTCCATCATGTGAAGACACAGTGAGAAGACCCTCTTCAGGAAGCAGGAAGTAGAGTCTCATCTGGCTCTAAATCTGCTAGTAACTGAATCTTGGACTTTCTAAACTCCAGAAATAAATTTCTATTGTTTATCAGCTACCCAAATTCCGGTATTTTGTTATGACAGCCCAGCAGACTAAGGAAGTTTTTAAGCATGGGAGGGTAAATTTTTAATAAGTTTCACCCTGAAAAAAGTTTGGAAGGAAAGAAGCTGCAAGTAGTGAGAACTATTGGAAGGTCATTTTTGCAATTGAGACACAAGCTAGTAAAGAACTGTACTACAATGTGGTGGTGACTACGGGGATGGAAACGAAGAGATGGATGGGAGTGACATTTTTGAAGAGGACTTTCCAGGACTTTTTTTTCTCATGGGTCTTTTGTTCCTCCTGACATTCCTCTATGCCCTTTGCTTAAATTATCTATAAATGTTAATTGATCAATCTACAAATGATTTTACCAGGTTATAGAGCAGTTAATTAAAGGTTAAATAAAGTTCTCTAATCATATGTACAAAGAATTATAAATGACTTGCTTAAAATTATTGAAGAATTATTTGTAAGCAATGATTTCTATGTTTTCATTAAAAGAGTAATCCAGAGACCCTTTATTCACAGAATAGTAAGTGTAATTGAAGAAGTTTAAGTAAAAACAAAAGCAGCAAATCATCCACATGCATTACATAAAGTAAAATGTCACCGCACAATAATCCAAACATATAAACTCTGATAATCTCTAGGATAATAAACTCTAGGATCTGTAAAAATGTTTTTATATTTACTTAGTAGCACGTGAAGTTTAATCTGCATTCTACTTCATTTTTCATGCTCTCCCTTTCTGCATCAAAATATGTTTCTCTCTTCATCTGTTATTTTTCCTGCATGTGCCTCTTCACTTATTGAGAGACAAACTGGCCCCAACTTCTCAATGAATGTGGCATATGTTGAATACAATGTGCTAGAAATTTCAAGACATGTAAGATAAGGAGCTAAGTCTAAACTCATAGGGAAACACAAATCTGGTAGAGACATGGGGGTGGGGGATAGAAATAGTTGTTAGACAGAGCTGAGTATTTTAAGTTACAGGTGTAGAAAATATTAGCAGGTTGTGTGGTAAATAGCCTCCAAGATGTTTTCCCATGATCCTTGACTCCTGTGTCATTTCTTTTCACAATGAGTGGGTTGATCTATGTACATGAGGACAAATACGGAAACGTCAGTAATGTGTCTTCAAGAGTCGATCAGAAAAGTCACTCAGCTTCTGTCTGTGCTCTCTGACATTATGAGCCCTACAGAAAGTGTGTAACCACAGCATGAGACATTCAAGTAGCAATGGAGCAGCCCATCTGGTGAGGAACTAAGGTCTCCTGCCCATGGCTAGAACTAACTTGGCAGCCACTTTATTGACTCAGTTTTCTCCATCCCATGGCAAGCTCAGAGATGGTCATAGCCCTGGCTGCCACCCTGACTCTAACTTCAGGAAACAGCCTGAGGCGGGAAAAAACTATGCTGCTAAACCCTCCCAAATTCCCGACCCACTGGAATAGTGCAAGACAACAATCACTTCTTCCTTAGACCACTCAGTCACAGAGAAATGTGTTAATAGCATGTAACGAGTATAGGCTCAGAGGATGAAGAAACCACATTTAGGAAGCATGTCAGAGATAAACTCCTGAGAGTAGTAAATGGCATTGATGGAGGATCAGATTTCAATGTATGGAGATCAGATCTCTTCATTAGCTCCCCCAAAACTGAAAAATTATATATAACAATTCCTATACTTATACGAATACCTATACCTATATATAGTAGAATCACAAGAAAAGCATGCAGGTTACAATAAAGCAACTTAAGTGAAAACCCCTTCTGGAAATTGATGGGAGAAAAAAATCTTTCAATTTAGCAAACATTTGACCCTTACAAATTTACATGTTATTTTTACTGTATTTCATTTGTGGAACACTAACATAGATTCTATATTCCAGGTAGCAGTCTTTCAAAGCTCTCTACTAACTCTGTACATGGATAGCTCTGACCCCTGGGAACTCAGTATAGCATTTTATTAGAT